CTCCTGCTTCCTTTGAGGCTCTGGTTGCATGGAGTATCATTTATCATCCATTCACTTTCAATCAGTGTGTTTTTTTATGAATGAAATGCATCTCTTGCAGGCAACACATAGTTGATTTTTTTTTTAAAAAATCGAATGTGCCAGTCTGTGTTTTCTTTGTTATTGAAAGTTTTTTTCTGTCAGTTTTGAAGGATAATTTTACAAGATATAATAATCTGGATTGGCAGTTGTTTCCTTTTCGAGTTCAGTAAACTTTACTGCAAACTTTCCTGGCCTTTAAGATTTGCATTGAGAAATCTACTGTTATTCTGATAGGTTTGCCTTTATGAATTACTGGATGTTGTCTCTTAACAGTTTTTAGTATTCTCTCTTTGTGCTGAATTTCTAGGATTTTTACTATGACATGGCATGAAAAGGTTATTTTCTAGCCATAGATATTTGGAGTTCCATATGCCTCATTTACATGGATATTGAATTATTACCCTAAATTAGGAAATTTTTCTGCTGTGATTTCAGTGAATAAATTTTTTATACCTTGGTGTCATCCTCTAATCTTTCACTAACTCCTATAGTTCTCAGGTCTTTTTTTTTTTCTTTTTTGAGTCAATACAAACTCTTGGATCCACCTACCATGATATCTTCTTTTAGGGTATCAGACATGGTACATTACATCATCTTTGTCTTCAACTCCTGACAGTCTTTCTTCAGATTGATTGTTTCTCTTATCCAGGCTTTCAACTGAATTTTCCATATCCAAGATTTCTGTTTGATTTCTTTTCATAATCTCTAATTTTTTAATAAAATGACTATTCATGTCTTGCATTATCTTTTTAATTCAATTTTTACTTGTTTCTTTAAGCTTGAACATTTCATTAATTAAATCCTTAATCTGTTTATTTATATCGTCTTTGAGCTCACTGAATATCTTTTTTTTTTTTTTTTTTTTTTTTTTTGTCTTTTTCCTTTTTATCGGTACCGGGGATCGAACTCATGACTGCCTGCTTGCAAGGCAGGCACTTATGCCACTGAGCTAAACCTCCAGCCCCACTCACTGAATATCTTATGAAGTCCTTTTTTTCTTTGAGCCCTTAAGCATTTTAACCATTTGGCTTTTGAGTCCTTTTCCTGAATTGCTCTCCATTTCAGTGTCCATGAGATTGGATTTGGGGGAGTTAAATCTTTGGAGGCATCTCTCTGGCTTGTTTTCTCATACTTCAATTGTTTTTGTGCTGAGGATTAAAGATCAGTAGGGGTAAAAAATAACTCTGTCACTACTGTAGAGATTCCTTTAGTTAATATGTGTCTTTGTGATGTGACCTTGGCTTTGGTTATGTTTTGGTGTTAGTATGCCTATTCAATCTACTGAATGTAATAGGATCAATCTTAGTGATTGCCTTGCAAGGAGAGAACAATTATCAGTTGTATTAGCATCTATGGTTTATCTTTTCAGAAACTGGAAGAACTTTATTAGTGTACATGTATAATACGTAAAGCCCTATGCAGGTGCCCTGTTGGCCTTGGTGGTCAGAAAGCTAACAATTAGTATATCTTTGTAATTGCATCAGCCTCTCTTGATTGGTATAGTCAGAACCAGATTATATAATTATTGATCATACAACTACAAATTTGTTTTAAAAATTTCACATTTTTTCACTATCACAGGAAGACAATGAAATGGTACTGATGATAAGTTGAAATGTAGAGGAGGAGTAATAAAGAAAAAAGAAAAGGAAAAAAATAGTTCAGAAAGAAGAAAGAAAAAGAAATGCCACATAACAGAAAGAAAAGAGATAGGGTTTTAGTGATATTATTTTTATATTTGGAATGGAGGGACAGGAAGAGAGGGTTTAAGAAGTTATTTGCAGGGATGAGATAAAGAAAGAAGAGGGAAGGAAGTATAATTGGAGGTTGGGGAAACCATTGAAGACCAAAATCAATTAATATGCTGATGGAAAGCTTGTGTTTGAATTTTCTATATACAATTTGTGTGAGCGTTAGCCTGACAATTGAAAAATACTATTTAAACTAAAGCAATAATTCTTATTCTTCATTTCATATATACAAATGCCTCACATATATTTAACATATGTAAGGAGAAAAAATTAAAATAAAAAACACATACAAAAACTCAAAAGTAAAGAATCCTTTCAGTCCTATTTATACTACAGTCAGGATTTGACCAGTGTGCTCTTTTCGCCTCAGCTCAAATATGGAAAGACCTTATCTTTGTCTTGTAGCACTTGGAGGATGAGTGCTGATCTCCTGTCCTCTGTGGTTCTGACTAATAGTTTAAGTCCATCAACCAATGCTTATCCTGTTTCCTCTCCAGTGACTTACTTTGTTGCCTATCGTGAAGTGAATTGTCTAGGGATGTGCAGATAGATTGCTGAGAATATTTCTCATTCTCTCTGTAGAAACTGCAAGATTTGAGCTGCACTCCTGTGGTCATGACTAGCTAGAGTTTTTTGCCTTTGTCTGATGATTACACACTTTTAGTTGTATCAGGGATTGAAGGCACAGGAAGATTAGTTAAGCATCCATGGTGTCTTCTACTGATCTCTGGAGGGCCTTCCTTATTCTCTGTCCCCATCCATCCATAATAATGCCTGAAGCTGTTTTTTTTTTTCCTGAACCTGTTTAGAGCTTGTCTGTCTTTCATTTCTTGGTGAGCACGTCATGCAACATCTTCTGACCACAGTACCCCTCTCCAGCTTTCTATCTGTGCCAAACTCTGCCTGTGACCCACAAAAAGTCTCTATCCAGCCCATGAATTCAGTAGCATTAAGGGCTCAATGGAAAAGGGCCTTTCTGCTTAGAATTCAGTAGTATTGAGGACACAGGGAGGGATCACACAAGAGCAGAGCTCAGCAGCTTTTGGTAGGTAGTGGAAGGAATCCTGCATGTGCACCAAGCTCTGTGGCATTTGGAGGACAGGCAGCAGAGAGGATACCATATTGGCATTTTAGGGGGCTAGCAGAAGATTGTCTTCTCTGGCTCTGCTCCAGTGTCTTTTTTCCACCCCTGAGTACTGGTTGGCCCTGTGACTCCCTGTCTCATAGCTCCCTCAGTGTCTACTTTCAGGTCCCTAACCAGCACCATGCCCTTGTTCCTTTCTGATCAGAACTTGCTGATCCTAACCTCATCACTGCTGCCCTCTGAGTGATTCTCTGACTTATGATTTCTTCTGAGCCCTAAAATGAGAAGACCTTCTCTTGCAAATATCTCACTCATTGGATTCCATCTCCAAGACAGAAAAAAAGACAGATAGGGCATGGGGCAGTGGCTGCTAGGCTGGGTACCTTTGTAGTGGCCTAGGAACTGCTGTTGCACTGGGCTTCTTCCCTCAGGGTTGAATCTTTTTCCAAGATAGCATGTTGCTTGGATCTCAGCTATAAGCAGTGCTAGGATCCACAGGCAGCTCTGCTTGCTTCTTTTTTCTAAGCACCCCAGAAACTATACTAGGATTCATTTGGTGGCTTCTCATTCTAGTTGCCGTCCTGTGTTTGGATTTCTGTTGGCTCCCCATTTATGAATACATGGAGATCTTGGTGAGTATCTTTTGAACATCCCACACGTGCTGCTACCACTAGCCCACCATGATGTTTCCCCTACATAGTATTTTTAAAACCCTTTTTTGTCTTCTTCAGTGAAGAATTATTAACAGATATAAATGCACATTAAAGCCATGGAAATTTTTTATGGCCCTGTTAACTAATAATTATTATTAAATTATTATTAAATAATAATAATTATTAAAATTAAGCCAAGAATAAAAGAGTAAAATTATGCTGGGAAAGAAAGCAACTGCTTGCCTCCCTGGTAAGCAGCCATGGCTTGAGCAAGTGGCGGGTGCCCCAGGGATAGAACCAGCCAGCATCTTCCAAGATCCATGCCATGTTTGAACTTAGGGCTCTGGGAAAGAAAGCAACCCACTCACTTCCCTGGTAAGCAGCCATGGCTCAAGCAAGCCACTGGTGCCCCAGGGAAAAAACCAGCCAGTGTTTCCAAAGATCCACACCATGTGGAACTAGGGTGCTGGGAAAGAAAGCAACCCACTCGCCTCCTTGGTAAGCAGCTATGGCTTGAGCTAGCAGCAGTTATCCCAGGTAGAGAACCAGCCAGCATCTCCTGAGATCCATGCTTCTTGGAACTTAGGGCACTAGGAAAGAAAGCAACCCACTCACATTCCTGGTAAGCAGCCATGGCTCAAGCAAGCGGTGGGCATCCCAGTGAGAGAACCAACCAGCATCTCCCAAGATCTGTGCCATGTTGGAACTTAGGGTGCTGGGACACAAAGCAACCCACTCACCTCCCTGGTAAACAACTGTGAGCCAGCACATAGGCTAAGAATCAAACATCCCATCCTTCCTCCCCACCCCGCCCCATTAGCAAATGAGAGCCAGAGGCCTGAGCATTTCTTGGGAGGTTGGCCATACACAATATAGCACATATGGGGGATTTCCTTCTACCATCTCTTTGAAGGCAAATATTGTTATCACTGTTTTGCTTTGTTCTGATTAATTATATTGCTCTATTCAATATTCTGTTTTGATAAGTTCTATAATGTTCTATATTTGGTGTTGATTTTGCTATACCTGATTGAAAGGACAATTATTATGAAGATAATGAGGTACACTGTGGTACCTATTACTGTTATCCCAGTAACCTGCTGTGATGTTCTGTACCAATTTCACTGCATTGTCTCAATTGGTTTTGTTCTGTATTGTTATGTTGTATTTTACTACATTCAAAATAATAAAAAGAGTCTTTAAAAGTAAATTAAAAATACTTCTTATAATGTGAAGATTTATTTTAAGTGAAATTTGGCAATTATTAGAATTTCTGTGTATAAAACACAGTTTTAAAACTAATCTTAACCAAAGGTCAAAGTGGATGGTGACAGAGATCTGGATAATAAGGAAAATGCTCCTTCAGGCTAGAAAGGAAACTGGCTGTTTCATTTTCACTATAATTTATTGATGAGAAAAGTCAAAACTCACCTGAATGAAGAGGAAGCAAATGTAGATCCTACCTCTACATGAGAGAAATAACCAAAAAAATTCTGGCCATCTTCAGTTGTCCATACTAATTTTTAAGCTGAAATAATGTAGCCTTCATATTTGAGTGCGGTGATAGTAGTTGGTGTTACTCCTTTCCCAAGCAGTACTGAAAATACAACACTAGATGAAATGTCTTCATTGAGATACATATAACAGTTCAAGATACATATGACAATTTAAGATACATATGACAACAGTGAATAATTTGTCACTATTTATAGGAGTCTAAAATAAGGACATATTGTATTCTGCAATTAGAAAGAGACTTTAAAATGCAGTCTGGCACTGTTTATTAAAACTGAATTTTAATATTTTTGTAATCACAGAGAAATTTATTTCATGCAGGCTGTGGTTATAACATGGTTTTGGAATTTTTCTCTTAAGAATATAAAGAAACAGGTAGTGCTTACCTTTTGAACTGTAAAGCACTTTTCATTTGTAGTAGGAGGTTTAGGTCCGCCTAACAATCTTAAAGGACATATTATCTGTCAACCAGTAGTGTGGCCACTGGAAGGCTCAGGAGGCCTGGAACATATAAAATTCTCATGTGAGAAAATCCTTATAATCAAGCACAGAGCTAGTTTGATTTCATCACAACTGTCACAGATAGATGGATTAACTGTGAAAAGTTCATGAAATGAACCATACTTTCTATTGTTGGTTTTATAATACCTTTTAAAATGTTTGAATCTGAAACAAAGAAAAATTCTAAAGCTAATGCTTCTCATTTGATTCTATTTGTAACCAATTCAGCACAATCAAAGAACATACTACATTTTTTAGTGAATATTTTACTACTTTAGATGACCTGGTTATATCTTACAACTTAGTAAATACAATTTCAGATAAGGGTGGTATATCTGTTCAAGGTCATAACAGCAAATAGTAATTTAATTCAAACAATCAAAGTTTAATATACAAAAGTATTGCAGGGAGGTTTGAGTAATGGGACTTCGGCTAGTAAAAATTAGAAAACTCTTACAAATATAATAGTGGGTATAAGGAATAGCCACTACCCTCAAGGGGTGAGGTGGATCATTCTGGAATAGATTCTGTCACCCTTCCAGCAGTGCTGCGATCCAAACCTTGGGGAGAGTATGGCCTTGGCTCACTGGGTTGCAGAGAGGTTTATTGAGATGTCATGCTGGTCAACTTGTTGGAAATCTGTCCTCTGGAGTCTAGAGGAAGGCATCCTTAGAAAGGCATCTCTTACCTCTAAATGTGGAGCCAACTAAGAGGATCCTGGGGGACCATGGTCACAGGAAGAGTACTCTACCAGAGTACTCTGCTGCAAAGCCACATGAAGAGGGTTACAAGAAAAGGTGCTCATGTAAAGGTGTACATGCTGGGCACTACAAATAAATTGTGATTTGAGGACCCTCCTAAGAAGAAAAAAAAATTAGAATCAGTAGGGAAAAATCCTTTCTCCTCCAGTGACCCTGCTGACATTTCCATTTTATCCCTGTAAGTCTTATTGTGAACATCTGATCTCTAAAACTGTAAGAGAGTAACTTTGTGTTGTTTTAAGCCACAAAGTCTGAAATAATGTGTTGCCATATCAATACAAACAAATACACAGTTTAGTAATCCTAAAAATTTAAGCATTCTCTGCTGTATGCAAAGGATAACTGACATGTTCTGTTGTGGCGTGTCAAAGAATTCACAAATGTACTTGTTGGGGGTAGGACACTAAAAGTAGAAGGAAAGTATATATAGAAGCATGGAGCAGTGAATTATTAGCCTGATCTGTTCAGGGAAGTGCAAATCATTTGGTTTTGTTGTAACTGCAGGTGGGAGAATAAAAGGTACATCAACTAGATTATATGTGCCTTGTATGCCATTCTGAGAAGTTCAAACTTGATTTCTCAAGATTCCTCAAACTTGATTCCTCAAGGCTCCTTTAGAGCCTTTGGTAGGTTTCAGAGGGAGAGCCACATATTTAGGTTTATATGTTAGGAAGATTTATCAGACAGTTTTGTGGAAAAGACTATATAAGAGAAAGGAAAACCAGCTGAGTTGCTGTAGTTCATGTAAGAGGTAGATGCCTGAATTAAAGCTTTAGAAGTGGCCATAGACAGAGGAGAGGGACTAAACAGAAGAAATATTAAAGAAGTTCAGTTGGTAGAATTTGACAGTATAGGGCTTAAGGAGAAAATTGTAGGAAATATCCACATTTGGTTCATATGATTGGGTGGATAATGATACTATTTTATCCAAGTAGATACTATCAAAGTGTAACTGAACTAGGGAGAATAAAACAATTTTGAGCATATTTCATCTGAGGAACTTGTAAAATATAAATGTTAAGCAGTTAGATATTTTAATCTAAAACTTGGAACCAAAATCTGAGCATAAGATAAAAGATTTGAGAGTTGTCATTATGAGGATAATAGATGAAACTCTGAAAATACACAGGATAGACATGATTGCTTAAAGATAAAAAACATGAGAAGAGAGACCATGTGGGGACCAGGAAGAAAAAAGTCAGACACCACCTCCCAAGAAACAGCTGTGCTGGGACTGGGAAGAGCCAATCAACAAGCCAACTAGCCAGCCTTTCTGATAAACCATATAAGCCATGCAGGGACCAGGAAGAGAAAAGTCAGATAGCGCCTCCTGTGAGCCTATCTAGTGCCCCCTCAACTCCCCTATAAGCAACAGTCTAGTTCGGAGGACAGGCTGAGTTGATAGCAACTGAGGTACAAAACACAACTGCATGTTTATATTGTTTGACTTTGCAGTCCTGGGGCCAGTAGTCTGAGCTGCTATTGGGAAGATAACAAACAGTATGCAATATAGCAGTTATGGGGAATTTCTGTCTTGTTTTTGAAATCCAGTATTGACTGTAGTGTCAGTAGAAATTGACAACATAGAAAACAGAGAGAGAACCTTGACCAGAAGAGTTTCAGAATTCCTGGGAAAAGAAGCAAGACTGAAGTAGGCTGAACAAGGATTGGGAATGAGAAAGTAAATATAGAATATTTCTCAAGAGAATTATTTCTTTTTCCACACTCCAGAGTTTCTCTGGATAGAAGCAATCACAGGCAGGGCATGTAGGGTTTAAGAGGGGAGGGATTTTGGCATCATTTTTGCTTGAGGGAAGTGCCAGTAGGAAGGAAAGCACTACTGATACAACACTGGATGCAACTCATCAATATGCTGATACAATTTCCCTCAGCAGCATTAATTAGCCTCAGTTTAGGAGAGGAAAACTGGGTAGATTATGCAAGAGCAGGAAGTATTAAACATAGTAGATGTTATGGATGAAGGAATCAAGAAAGAGAAATTTAATGATTATATGCTTTGGGACTTAAAGTCCCAAACTAGAAACAATCCATATTCTATCAATAGGAAAATGGATTTAAAAACCTTGGCATATGCATTCAGTGAAAAATAGAGCTAACTGATTCACATGACATAAATGGGAAGTTCTTCATATATGCTGAATACACGTCATTTATCAAATATACATATTACAAATATTTTCTCACAATTTGTAACTTTCCATTTTATGTGTATAGGGGAATCTTTCAATGAACAGTAGTTTAAATTTTGATGAAATCCAGTTTGCCATATTTTCTTTTATGGTTCATAGTTTTTATATCCTAACAAAACTTTACCTACGGCAAATATGTGCAGATTTTAAATATTTTGTCCTCTAATTATAGTTTTAGCTATTAATCTAGATTTACGAACCCTTTCAAAATAAGAGTTATGTATGATGTGAGAGAAGGATTGAAATTATAGGTAGCTAGTTGTTCCAGCACTATTTGTTCAAAAAGCTACCTTTTCCCTATTGAGATATTTTGGCACCTTTATCAACAATACCATGTCAGTCTCTTTCTCCACTTTATATCCTGAGCTATTTTCTGATATATTCTTATATCAGATTCATCTGGTCTAGATTATGCACATGTTCCAGTTAACACAGCACTCTGAAAAGTAAGTACAGCTTGTTTGTGGAATGATTTAGGAAGACTATTATCAACATCAACTCTTCCAATTTATCAACTCAATGGCAATTATTTGTTTCTTTAATATCCCAACAGCATTTTATAATTTTTAGAGCAAATATTTTCACATCTTTCATAAAATTAATTTCTGTATTTTATATATTTGGTGCTAATATAAATTGTTTTCATTTCAATGTCCAATTTTGTTACTGTTAAAATATATAAATGCAGTTGATTTTTATTTATTGGTCTTGTATTCTGTGAGCTTGCTAAACTCACTTAATAGTTATAATAATTTTTTCCTCATGGATTATTGTTAACTGTGTCATTTCAAATATAATTAGCGTTACATCTTCCTTCCCAGTTTGGATTCCTCTGGTTTTCTTGCTTTATTGCATTGGCTAGAACTTTATTCTAGTACAGTATAGAGAAGAAAGGTTTTTAATCTCGATCTTTTCAAAATATTTGATATTTTACCTTTAAGTATGTTGTTAGCAGTAGGGTTCTGTGGGGGGATTTTTAAGTTGAAGAAGTTCACCTTTATTCCTAGCTTGCTGAGGTTTTTTTTTTAATTAAAAATAGATGTTGGAATTTGTCAAATGTTTTTCCTGCATTTATTGAAATGATTGTGTGTAATTTTCTTTTTAGATTATTATCATGATGAATTATTTGATTTTGTAGTGATAAGCCAATCTGAATTCATGGAAATTGCATTTTAACCCATATCTTTCTTGTAATGTCTCTGTCCTGTTTGAGTAACAAGGTAATGCTGACTTCATAGAACGAGTTGAGAACTGTTCCTTTTCAATTTCTACTATTCATAGTAGTACTGATACTATTTCTTCATTATATGTGTCATAGAATTCATCAGTGAAGCCATCTGGGTCTAGAATTTTCTTTGAGGGGTAATTTTAACTAAAGATTCTAATTTTTATAGCATAGGGATATATTCAGTTTATTCTTTCTTAAGTGAACTTTGGTCATTGCTCTTTTTCATGCAATTTGCTCATTTTATAAGTTGGTAAATTTATTGGTAAATTTATTGTTATGAAATTGCTTATAATATTTATTACCTTTATTATATCTATAGCAACTTTAGTGATGTCACTTTGCTTTATCTTTAATATTATCTCCTGTCTCCTGATCCAGCTGGATAGAAGTTTATCAGTTTCGTTGGTCTATTTCAAGAGCCAATTTTTTGTTTCATTTTTTTGTTATTTTATTGTTACTATATTGTCCTCAACTTTGGTGGTCTTTGTGTTTTCCTTTCATAAACTTATTTTGATTTAATTTTTTCATCTTTTTCTGATTTCTTAAATTGGAAAATATGATCATTGTACTGAAACTTTCCTTCTTTTCTGATGTATTTGTTTAGTACTATAAATTTCCCCAAGTGCTGCTTTAGTAGTCATTCATATTTTTATTCAATTCAGAATAGTTTCTATGGGCTAGAGATTTAGCTCAGTGTCATAAGTGCCTGCCTGGCAAGCGTGAGGTCCTGAGTTTGATCGCTGGTACAAAGAAACATAGCTCTCAGAATAATTTCTATTTTTCCTTTAGATTTTTGCTCAGACTCATGAGTTATTAGCAATTGTATTATATCATTTTCAAAATGATTAAACTCAAATATTGAGTTCTAAATTTTATTGTAGTCATAGAATATATTTTATGTGACTTGAATCCTTTTAACTTTACTGAGATCTTGTCTGATGTCCCAGAATATAGCACATCAGGAAATGTCCCACAGAGTTAAACAGAACATGTAAGTGACTCATGTTTATTAGTCTAAAACTATAAATCATTTCAAGTTAGTTAATATTTCTACTCAGCTCATTGATTTTCTACCTGCTTTGTCAGTTATAATTGTGGATTTGTCTATTCATATGTTTTGTCAGTTTTTGACTTTCATGTATTTTGAAGCTGTCCTATTAGGTGTATATTATACCCCCTTGATGAACTGACCATGTCATTATAACAGATTGGTCTTTTATCCTTGTCTTTCCTTTATGAAGTGTGTCCTTTTTGTTTGATTTCTTTTAAAATTTAAAACTTTGCTTTTGCCACTTATTTTATGCAGTTTGTTGATAATATGTTTTTCTTAGTCCGATTCCTTTGTGTTTTAATCTGCTTGAGATTCTTTTAACTTATAGTTGCGGGCTTACTAGTTTCTGTCTCCTTTCCTTTGGAGGGCTCCAATTACATGTATGTTAGACTCTCCTACATGTTACCTAACTTAGTTTAATAACTTTTTCTCTTTTTAAGAAGTGCCTACATTTGGAGCACTTGTTAAAGTGACTGTGTCTTCAAAATCATTGTTTTTTGTGTGACTATACCTTCAAAATCATTTTGTCATGCATTATCTAGTTTGTATAATCATCTAATGCGTTTTGTACATAACATAATTTTACAATTCTAGAAGCTCCTTTTTGTCCTTAGTTATTTCTCCTACTGTATTTCTTTCCTTACTATGTTCA